CGCTATACATGGGTCAGATTTCTCAGAGAAAAATCTAAGGCCCTGGAGAGCTTCAGAACCTTGGCCTTGCAACTAAAGAATGAAAAATGAGGCATAAAAACCATAAGGAGTAATCATGGAAGAGAATTTCAGAATGAATTGTTTGATAAATTCTGTAGTGAACAGGGGATTTTTCACCAGTATTCAGCACCTAGAACACCGGAACAGAATGGGGTAGTAGAAAGAAAGAACAGAACTCTGTAGGAGATGGGCAGGGTTATGATGCACAGGAGTCAGGTTCCCAAACATTTATGGGATGAAGCTGTGAGCACAACATGCTACATTATAAATAGAGTGTATGTTCGAAAGGGGACTGATAAGACTCCTTAATTAAGAACTATGGAAGGGGAACTCACCGGCTGTTGGTTACTTTCATGTCTTTGGATGTATCTGCTACATATTTAATGATAAAGACAATCTTGGAAAGTTTGATGCTAAGAGTGAGGAAGGACTGTTCCTAGGTTACTCAGGTCACAGCACAGCTTTTAGAGTATAAAACAAACAAGCTCGAGTAGTACAAGAGTTCATGAATGTAGTCTTTGATGAAGCATTTGTTCACATGTCGACTCAAATACCACTTCAAGAGTCACCCAAACCTAATACTGATGTGTCAAAAATAGTTGAAACATATACTGAATCTGATGTATCTGAAAAGAAAGAAGATCAGAGCAGTGAAGAAATAACGTCTAACAACAAAGTGCATAAGAATCATTCCTCATATGATGTCATTGAAGAGGTACAATGTGGAAGAGTCACAAGAGGAAAGACTCAGGATTACAAAAAAACTCGCTGGAAAAGACAGTAATGTTAGAACACTGTAATACCTCATGAAACAGAGGTTGTTCAGTTTGCTTATTTTATGTCAGTGATAGAACCAAAAAATCATAAGCAAGCTCTTGTTGATGAGTTATGGATAACTGCAATGCAAGAAGAATTAGGGCAATTTAAAAGAAGTGACGTATGGGATTTGACATCTCGACCTCCAAACGTGAATGTTGTGGGGACAAAGTGGATCTTCAAGAATAAAACAGATGAAGGTGGAAATATGGTAAGAAACAAAGCAAGACTGGTGGCTCAAAGATATTCTCAAGTGGAAGGAGTGGATTTTGAATAGACTTTTGCTCCAGTTGCTCGATTGGAATCCATCAGATTTCTGTTAGGAATGGCTTGTGTGTTAAACTTTAAACTGCATCAAATGGATGTCAAAAGTGCATTCCTAAATGGAATTCTACAGGAGGAAGTTTATGTTTAGCAACCAAAAGGGTTTGAAGATCCGGACCATCCAGATCATGTCTACAAATTGAAGAAGGCTCTCTACGGTCTAAAACAAGCACCAAGAGCTTGGTATGAAAGGCTAACAACATATCTTCTAGGTAAGGATTATGAACGAGGAAGTGTTGATAAAACCTTATTTATTTTAAAAAAGAATAGTGGTTTGTTCATAGTTCAGATCTATGTTGATGACATTGTCAGAAACTTGTTGATCAATTTGTTCGGAATATTACTCAAGAGTTTGAGATGAGCATGGTAGGAGAGCTAACGTAATTTCTAGGACTACAAGTCAAACAGACTGATGATGGTATTTTCGTTTCACAGAGCACTTATGCATTAAATTTGGTGAAGAAGTTTGGGATGGCTGATAGCAAAAAGGCAAGAACCCCAATGAGAGTAAACGAAAAATTATCCAAAGATGAATCGGGTGAATGTGTAGATGTGAAACTGTACAGAGGAATGATTGGCAGTCTTCTGTATTTAACAGCAAGTCGCCCAGACATCTGTCAAGCAGTGGGAGTGTGTGCAAGGTATCAAGCAAATCCCAAGATGTCTCATTTACTGGCAGTTGAAAGGATTGTCAAGTATGTCAAAGAGACACATAATCTGGGGCTGTACTATTCAAAAGTTACAAACCAGTATCTTGTAGGATATTGTGATGCAGACTGGGCTGGATCGTTAGATGACAGGAGGAACACGAGCGGTGGATGTTTCTTTATGGGAAACAATCTAGTGTTTTGGCACAACAAAAAGCAAAACAGTGTGTCTGAACAGATCATGTAAATCCAAGGGTGGATAGATAATCAGTGCTCTTGTCCTAAAGGGAACTGTGGAAAATAGCTACATGTCATACGGTTTTTGTAGTCTACTGTAAAATGTTGTCATGTAATAGGAGGTCAAAGAGCTGTGGAGAACGCATAGAGTAGTTGAGAAGTCAAGTAATACTACGGGTTTCAGTACTAATATGTGGTCATGTCAAAAAAAAAAGAAAAAAAAAGAAAAAAAAAAGTCAGCTGTCTATGTTTATAGGTACTATGACACCACATCATCCAGTACTGTTCTTGTTCAGTGTCTCCAAAGAAAGGAATTCTAGCTGCCTGTTATGTGTTGGTCTTGACTACAGAAATTAAAGTTATGACAGTGTGAAAGACTATCCACTATGTCTCGAGCCTGACAATCAAAGACCCAAGTGGTTATGGTAGTTTCTATGATAATTTTTGGTGTTTCAATTAGTTTGACTCATTGGGTTAACTTCGACAGGGGTGCTGTTCATTTCTTAACTTATACTACCCACATGTTTACTATTATCTGGGTCACTCATATATCACGGTCTATGTTGTTATGATAGCAGAGTGATGAAGTTTTTGCTTAACTGTAATATACAAGATATGATTTGATGGTTTGTTGAGTGTTTTTCAGTACTTTGTCAACCGACTGAATGCCTTATCCAGATGACCATATTCGGCGCATATTTTTGACTCAGTTATGCACTCAAGCAGGGGGAGATATCCATGGTTTGTTAAGTTTTGTGTTTCTGCTCATATGGAGGAATAAGAGTATGGGGGAGCCAGGATTGTGTTTTTGTCGAGTAGGTTGGTTATTGCTTAAGACGGATGTCCTGTTGGATGCTTGAGTAGCAAACTAAGTAAAAAAAAGGGAGATTGAAGATGCAGAATTCCGAATTGAAGATTAATAGTGAGAGTTTGTATTTTTTTGATTTTAGGTGTGTGAAAGAATTGATTTTAGGTGTTTTGAACTATTCAAATATGCATTGTTATCCAAAATTTCCTATCTCATATATTATTGGGTATACTTCGAGTAGTGATATATTGGGTATTATTACCCAAATGACATGTTTTCAGTCCATACCCGCAATCAAACCATCATATCCAAATATACGAAATGAAAACCTCTGAATTCCTACCCACTTCCTACTAATTACATGTGTTCTGCTTGTTTGACACCGTTTTCACTTTTCATTATGTTGTTACCATTTGAACCTTTAGTTTGTTTTTAATTGATTTATGCTACTCTTTTTTTTCGCAATTGATTTATGCTACTATATCAAATTCAACAATATGTAGAAGAATTCTTAAAAGAAATCGGGTGTTAATGGATCGATCCACCCTGATTCAAATCATCATAAGAATGAGTTTAGCATTTACCAACCTATTTAATAAATAAGTTAACTCAATAGATTAATAGTTAACTGACCTATTAGGGCCTTTTTTGGTTCATTGATTTATAAATGTATGTTGGATTTAGAAATCTTCATTAATTTTGAAATCATACATATGGATTTTGAAATAACATGGTTTACCCTGAATTCTTTTATTTTTTATCATACTGCTGGAGTTACAAAACATGGATGGAAAGTGGAACAATTCGACATGAAGAATTTAGGAAAGTAGAAACTGTGGAGATAGGTTAAATATTCTTAGAAGTAACTAAGGAAAGTAAGTTGACCTTGACAAGCAAGATGAATATTCTCTGGGGTCGCTGAGGGTTAGGGTTTTTGGGGGGCTTTAAAACGGGATATATAAGGGGATTGGTGAGTGTGGCGAGGGCTTAGCACTCACGGGAAAAATACGAGTTCAAAAATCTTCAAGGCAAAAAGAAAACATGTAAGAAGGTAAGAATGTGATAAACTCCTAGATCTTTCAAGTAAGACAAGAAAGGTAGAGAGTGAGTAGCTTGGTTTTTGTTTCTTGGGAGAAAAAGTCTATTAGAGTAGAATAGCACAAGTTTCACCTAGATAGTTACAAGCTATTGTAAAAGATTGAACTATCAATAAAACAAAGACAAGCGTTTGATTCGCCGCTTTCCAGATTGTGTCAATTAACTATTGTGTACCCTTCTGTATCTATCAACATAAAACGAGAATTCGAATTCGGGATTCAAACCGAAATCCCTAACATCTCACCAAAGACTCTCTTCCCAAAAAATTCCACACACTTGTTGAAAATTCTATTTTTCTCCCTACTTGAATCGTTCAACTTACTTCACTATCTAACTCGACCTAACTATCTTTTTCTCACATAACACACTCGTTATAAAGCAAGCAAGCTAAGAACAACAAACAACTCACGCGTGCTTCTCACATGGTGTCGACTTAAACCTCTTTCAAGTGAGAGCTTCCACTTTAACGAGAGACTTCAACCTTTTTAGCACAATTCAGTTCCATCTTTTTTTTTTTTTTTTTTGATAACTCGGGTGTCCGGCCCCACCGAGGTGGAACCGACTAGCGTGGGACCCACATGCGTCATCTGCTCTAGGGTACCCCACATCCCGGGGAGCTAGCGATTCCCTCATGTAAATCCGCCAGTAGCCGTGCCTCGAACCCTGTGGCGGAAGTCACAGCCGTGACCCCTTTACCATTAGGCCACAAGGCCCGGTTTATTTTGATCTTTTATTAAAAGGAAAAGACATTCAAAAAATTTGAGAGGTTGAGAAGAAATAGACAAGGTAGGCTGGGAAAGCCTGCCACGTCCGAAAAATGGAGATTGACGTAGCTAAAGAAAAAAGAAGCATACCATGTGCAGACCCACGTAGATCTCCCATTAATCCACTAGAATCTCTTTGTCTTTTTAAATCCTTTTTCATTATGAAATAAAAAGTTTCCTCTAGAATATACAAAACAAATTCGTGACACACATTGTATTCTTACATGAATTTTAGTAGATTCCGTATCGATCGTTGTTATAGTTGCCATTACGTATATACCAAAGCGTAACGTATCCATCAATAAATACCAAACACACAATTTATATAAAAAATAAATAGTTTACAAGTTCTTTACCTATTTTCTTTCTTTTCTTTTTCTTCATTTTCTTACCTAATTAATTCCCCTAATTATATATTTTCCAAAGACATATACGAAAACCAAATTAATTAAGAAATGCAACATGCATTAGGGTTCTCGTCGCTAAAAAGCTGCGGCGGAGGAATCCTCTCTATGACGTATGAAGGCTGATAGTAATACATCATCCTCTTCATCCCTTCCACTTCCGCCATCGCCGCCATTTCATCGTCTCTTCTCTCTTCCTCCGTATCCGCCGCGTCTTCTCCACCACCTTCCTCTCTATTTTCCTCTCCCTCCTTCTTCTTCTCTTCTTCCTTATCCTCTCCGGTTTCTGGCGGTTTTTCATCGCCATCACCATTCTCCTCCTTCTTCTCTTCCTCCGCGGCCGGGTTTTCAGGTTCCGGGTCAGGTTGGGGTACAATTCGGGCTTGCTTTTTGGTCCGACGGTAGACGTAATCCACAAGCTTCTCGGCGTCCATTGTTCCAGTCACTATTACTTTTCCAGTGGTGTGCTCCGTCACAGTTGTTTGGACCCCTAACCAACAATATTAGTTAGTCCAAATAGAGCCAACCTCATGTAATTCAATATTACAATTTTTTAAATGAAAAAAAAAAGAAACTTAGTTTGTCGCAAAAACTGTCTAATTTAATGTTTTATGAATGACCAGATTAAAATATCTTAGAAACCAAAACGCTTCTAAAAGTACAAAACCTCATGTCATCACAAATTTTAGCTTAAACATGCATGTGACGTGATGCATAACGAGATATCTAGTAACTTCTTTTTTTTTGACATGATATATAATGAATCTGAAGGTGACATCTATAGAGAATGATATATTATTTTAATATGGATACGTATGTTTAAACAGTGGGAAATATATATATATATATATATATATATATATATATATATATATATATATTAGATTTTTTATTTAACGAGTATTGTGATTCGTTCAAAACAACAAATTATAAAAGAAAATACCATTTTTAAATATAACCAAAAACTTAAAATCATTATTCTAAAATTTACATTTAAAAGGAGTATTTGGTATTGACGAGATCCAGAAATGTATATGTACCTCTCATTTTGAGAATCTTCTTCTTGAGCTGGTCAGCACAAGCTTCGCAGTGCATGTTGACGTTGAGCTCGACGGTGGTGAGACCGCCGGAGACCTGAGAGGTTATGATCGGTGGCAGAGGCTCTCCCTCGGCTGCCGGAAGCGGAGAGAGGACTTTGGCCATTCTTTTAGTCTTCTTCTTGATTTTGTTGCACACTGCTTGCGGATCCAACACTCCTTTTATCGTCACTTGGTTCTCATTCATATCCATCACCACTTCTTCCACACCTACAACATTTATTATATACAAAAAAAATGTAATTATTTATTTCACTTTTGGAGCTTTATAAAATAATATTTTGGTAGTTGGGATTTTGAGAATGAAGCTATTGGTTTTTATTATTTAAAAAGAGAATTTCTTTTTGTTAATTTAAAGTGATTATTCTTAGATGAATCTAATTCTCTATCCATTTATATATTTGTTTACCTCTAATTTTTAGAATAGATCTTTCAATCTTCTTAGCGCATCCAACACAATGCAAGTCGACGTAGAGTATGAAGGGTGGAGGCGGTGGTGGTGGTTGCGGCTCCTCCTCCTCGGTTGGTTTCTCCTCCTCAGCCGCCACTTTTTTCTCCTCCGCCACATCTTTCTTCTTCTCCTTCTCCTCCGCGGGGACGGCCTCTGGAGCAGAGACTGCCTCCTTTGCCTCCTTATACTGAAAACATCAATCACAAAATCACAAATAGGCATTTAATTTGCTGCGGTTTAAAAATATATATTGAAGGAACTTTAGATCTCACTGGTTTTACTTCTTCACCCATGTTTTAGAATCTGTGGTTATACGACGATATGGTTACAAATGAAACGAAGAAAAGAGATATGTTATGGAGGGAATGGGTAGAGAGAGCGAGTATTTATATGAAACACTAGTATATAAAAAGATGAAGGAGGAATGGAATTATTGATGAATAATTAAAGCTATAGTATAAGGTAGGAGCTAAACAGAACATAAAGCATAAGAGGTTGATTCCATAGCACATGGCAGAAACTAATCATCCAACATATATAGACACACCCCTTCACCTTTGTTACCTTATATATAGATTTATTCTCACCACTAATTATGTTTTGTAATTATTTTACAAACAACTTTTTCGAAAAAAATTTCTTATACTATTTTTTTAAAAAAGGACCGGCAACAAAATGGTCCGAGGTCGGTAGGTTTTATAGGCATAAAATGTGAGTGTTCTTGAACATGTACCTTGAATGGTTTTGTAATGTACATTACAAAAAAGACATGTCATTGTATTAGTTATTGAATTATATATTCCGTTTGTTTCTACGTATATATTGGTGAGCCCTGATGAAATTCAAATTTAGAATTTAATCCCGGAAGTTGTTCGTTTTGTTGAGTCAGTTTTTTTAGTTAGGCTTCCGAAATATAATAAAATTTAATACTGTATTATATGAAATTAATAACAAGATGGCCAAAAGAATATGCACTTCGACACAAATTTAAGGTTCTGCACCTAAAAATGTGGCATGTCATTTATATTAAAGTATAATCTCAGCAAAGATATATCAAAATCTAGTTTTTATGACTCAACATCAAAATTCAAATTCTAAGCTTGATATAACGAACACCATCTGCTCAAACAAACGAACCACATATGTATAATATTCTAACCAACAATAGATTCTTTGTAAATTCCTTCCACTTGTTCCTTTTCTTTTCATGTTATGGAATTCAAATTGGTACAGAGGTTTTGGCTTAATTACTTCTCCCTTCTCTTGATATGTAGTAGGAGTATATTTTTTATTTATATTTTCATGGGAGAAACGTATATTTTTTTGATAACGAGGAATGGGACCATATGAGAAAATAATTTTAGGCATCGAAAATGACAATACTTTGCATCATACTCACCGACTTTATTGATTACAGATATATTGTTCATCCTTTATTTTCTACAGTAAATATCTTCCAATATTTCCTATTCTTAATCTATACTAAAAGTTATATAACCCAATGTTAGTTAGAGAAAAAGATGATTAGATGACGTCATCATCTCTACCCAACATTTTGTTGTCAGCTAATCTATATATACATTTTTGGATGACTTTTAGCAAATAAATCCTGGAGTTGGAATGTATTTACGGATGAATGCCATTGGCATTAATTATTTAAATTTGAAAAATATTAATTAAAGATATTACCAACACGATTTTGAGAATCATAAATTCATATCTTCCTTAATTTTCTGAGTCATTAATGTGATAATCTTTAGGAAATATTTCTCTCTAAAAAAAAATCCACATTAATGAAGGCATTAAAATCGACACTAACAATTAAATTATTTAGATATTCAATTATTTTAAGATTCTTATATCTTATTTGATATTTTTTTTTAATATCTCATTCTTTAATTACTGCGTTTAGAATTTATTGGTTGTTACCTATTTTTTGGTGAAATTTATTGGTTGTTACTTAATAAGTAATTATGGTGCGTTTATTTTAGTTAATATCTAATTTAAAGGATTTGTTTTCTTTTATTATTAATAAACGAATAACATGTATAGAAATAAAAGATTTTTCTTGCGACTCCATAATAAAAATATTAAACTCTTATTTTCTACATTTCTTACACATAATATCCTCTTATTCAATAACAAAAAATATATATTGCATATTTTTAAAAATATTTATAATATTTAAATTATATAAAAGGTTTGTAATATTAATATTATTTCAACTCTATACAAATTTAATATATATGTATATATATCTTATGGGAACCATTTAAAAGAAATTTTTAAATTGACTTGAATTATATAGCTTTTAAATAAAAGTATTATTAAAAAGAAAAATAACTAAATGATGTTTAATTTCACGGGACGGGTAATATGATGGGACGGGTAATATGATGGGACGGGTTTGGGTTGATATTTATAAAAGATAGTATACCACGGGTGAAATCCTAAAATTAACAATCAAAATAATCTATCAAACAAATTACAATTTGATTTTTTTAAGAAAATATAGCCCCGCGGTGTACCGCGGGTTAAAATCTAGTTTTTATTTATTAAGAAAATACTTATACTTATTTACTTACATTACAAAGTTGAAAGCTAAATCCCAAGCAAACTAAATTACAAATAATATGTTAATTCTAAAAGCTCCATGTGATATTTGTAATATGTATCATAATAATAAGAATAGTTCAGAAAATATTTATTTATTTCTCAATCGTCCAAGTAATTTCTACAGTTCAAAGTGGTTAGAAAAGACAAATCAACTATAGTTGTATACATTGTACGAAACTATTAAATAGTTTTTCTTCGTTCGTTAAAGCGGGTTTGGTTGATGATTTATCGCCTTTTAGAAGAAACATCAAAATCCTTTAACCGTATTCTCGATACTAAGAACAATCTATAATCAGTAAAGTCACTAAACAATGTGTTATATATTTCATAAAACTAGAAAAATAGCATTCCCATTTCTTCAAAAGCAATTTTTGGGGATGGATGCAACGTGGGGTGCCCAATAAAATGAAAACTATTAAAAATTATTTGTGGATTCAAATTTTGTAAGAACCTTTGGCATAGTGGAAAGTAGAAATCACGTGGGATGCTTTAGGTTAAATTTGGACAAATGAGAGAATAACTTATTCTTGTTTGGCAATTGAGACTTAAGACAACTCTTGTAGACCAATAGCTGTTTTGTTACTCAATTATGCGACTAATGTTAATTTACGTGATTATGTGAAGTTAATGAATAAATTAGGGGCGTGTTATATCTTCTGGTCGATATCACTATCAATGTGTGTTCTATCAGTTTTGCCCTATTTGATATATCGCAACTTAGACATTGTGACATATTATACATATTATATCAAGTATATAACAAATAAGCTACATAGTTGGAAGAACTAATTAGAAATTAAAGTGATCCTTTAGAGGCAATTGCGGTTAACCACTAAGACAAAGTTAGCTATAAGAAAATGATAGATCAAAGTGTTCAGAGAATTCACTCAGATTCTTAATGTATGTAGTTGACCGGTTTATAATCCTCGTTTGGTTATTTTCTAATAACTATTTCTTATTTACTTTTATAATTTTGTATTGTTTTTGGAATCCTTTTTTTAGTGAACATCAAAAAGATAGTCTTTGTGAAGTAATCTAATTTTATTTTCTAAAAGTATACAGAAAAAAAAAGGTAAAAAGTTCAGGTCCATGTTTACATGTGCCCAAACACCTGGAGCTGACTCAGCTTACAACATGCTGAATGTATACATTTTTGTGCGTATCTATGTGTCCATCTTTTATCCAAATATGATTTAACAAAAGTACGTTTATTTCCATATTTCTTGGTGAGTTTGGCAAGAATTTTTAGTAAGTTTTTAGAGTTACAAAATTTTAAATCCATTATACTGTTATATAAAAGAGATAACACTGTCTAAAAGACTCAAAAATCACTCTTGTTTAGTGGGAAAATAATGCTTTTCCTTTACTTACTTGTCCTCTCAAATTTTGTTATTTAGTGTAATTACTCTTCTTTTTTTATCATACATCTTGCTTTAGCAAAAATAATTAAACTTAATTTACATTTAAAATTGAACTTAGTAAGATGAAGGATAGGAAAATTAAATTTACATATAAGTCGAAAATAATTTAACAAGTAGCAATTATCAGATAAAATAACCCGCAACTAAATTTTACTTAAAATGTGAACATCCGTTTCGAACAAATTCATACAGAACGGCTGAAAACATATAATAGCCAAAAAATATTAATCACTTGTATTTTACCTTGTGTCCATCTCTAAATTAATTTTTACTTTCTATATTATTCTGTAAACTAAAATTTGTCTCAACCTTTTGGTAAAACTGTTGATATATCACTTAATTGTAGTAAGAATTTCCTTTAAAACTGTGAATTTGGACTTAGCTTTTTGGTATACCTATAAATGAACTTGAAGGAATAATTGACATAGTTTGTATCCTATCGTTTTCACATTTTGAGTCTTAATTAAATTTGAGTTCGACGCGAGATATTGTTCGGGTTTTAAGTATTGTTTTAGCTGAATGGACTGGAAAAACTTCTCATTGTTGAGTGATTTGTTAACCTCATCAGATGTTATCACGAATCAAAAATCAAGACAAGAATCTCTGGCTTTCTATTGGTTTACTTTACAGATCGTTTTTGTATTTGTTGATGATACACATATTTTTTTTTGGTATGAGGAGGGGAGACAAAAGCCTCCCCATTTTATTGAAAGAAAAACTTAAACACAATTACACACGGACATTACGAGGGTACGCAGACCCATCGGTGATGATACACATATTTAAAGGTGATTTTTGAAATATATTGTACATCGTTCTGGAATTAGCATGAAGTTCCCTATTATACCAACCGGCAATTTGCGACTTTAATCTGATTCAAAAGTATATCCAAAAAGTAAAAAAAAAAACAAAAAGCCATATTGACTACTAATTTACTCTATGTCACAACCGAATTAGTTTTTAATGCTTGAATAAATAGACTTTTGTTTTATGTAATGTGCCATGTTTATGGTTTCTAGCATCCCAGTCATTCATATCCACAATTATATATTTACGCTTTAAAAGCGTCACCTTTGTTTGGCCACTCTAATTGGAATATTGAATTGATTAAATAACATTTTGCCCAAAAAAGAAAAAATTGATTAAATAACATAATACGTGAATTCTAAAAATAGTTGAGATAAGTTAGTTGGTGTTCGGTGCATCGCATGTGGAGACATGAGTCCAACTGCAATGGCGTTAAGATTCGAATGCACATATTTTACGCATTTACGATGTTTAATATATTGGAAAGAATTGTATGTCTTTTTCCTACTCATATACTTTTTGGGTTTTATTCAAAGTATGACACAACATCGATAGTACTGATATCAACTACCATATTACAAAAGTCTAATTGTTTTGGTAACGCACTATTTATTGGCTAAAATCTACATATAATGATGCCCCAATTATTCGTTTAAATAAGTTCAAATACTAGAAATATTCAAATATACTATTAGAAATGTAAATACAATTTGTAATAGTAGACAACTAGACATTGTTAGCCAACTTTCATATACATGATTAGAAAATATTCTAGCACATCCAAAAAATTCTTTACTTTTTAGTTATTCGAAATATCTTACCTTAGATTTAACCATTTACCTTAGATTAATAGTGAGAGTTTGTATTTTTGATTTTAGGTGTGTGAAAGAATTGATTTTAGGTGTTTTGAACTATTCAAATATGCATTGTTATCCAAAATTTCCTATCTCATATATTATTGGGTATACTTCGAGTAGTGATATATTGGGTATTATTACCCAAATGACATGTTTTCAGTCCATACCCGCAATCAAACCATCCTATCCAAATATACGAAATGAAAACCTCTTAATTCCTACCCACTTCCTACTAATTACATGTGTTATGCTTGTTTGACACCGTTTTCACTTTTCATTATGTTGTTACCATTTGAACCTTTAGTTTGTTTTTAATTGATTTATGCTACTCTTTTTTTTTTTCGCAATTGATTTATGCTACTATATCAAATTCAACAATATGTAGAAGAATTCTTAAAAGAAATCGGGTGTTGATGGATCGATCCACCCTGATTCAAATCATCATAAGAATGAGTTTAGCATTTACCAACCTATTTAATAAATAAGTTAACTCAATAGATTAATGGGAAAATCACATTTTTAACCTTCAAAGTGGCACTGGGTAGCACTTTAAACCTCAATATAATTTCACTAGCACTATAAACCTTCAAACTAATTATACTAACACTTTAAACCACCAAATTAATAGTTAACTGACCTATTAGGGCCTTTTTTGGTTCATTGATTTATAAATCCATGTTGGATTTAGAAATCTTCATTAATTTTGAAATCATACATATGGATTTTGAAATAACATGGTTTACCCTGAATTCGTTTATTTTTCACTTTCAATTCCATTTAAAATCTAATGTGGATTTGGAAATTAAAAATTACTAAACAAAATAACACATGATTTTCACTAGTATTTAGAAATCATCGAATAAAGACTTGATTTCGATAAAGATTTTAAAATCAAAGATCCAATAACACATGATTTTACTTTGGGTATCTAAATCAACTAAAATCCATGAACCAATAAACCCCTAAATTTCTAGAATATAGTACTGGCACCAAATCAAGAGTAATGCCACAATTTTATCCAGCATAATCAATAATCGTCAAGTATCCTGATCCGAATTCAGTATTTCCCAATCGTACAAGGCTACTACTAGCATCCGAGAGCAGAAAACGTCGAAAACGATTCACATTAAAATTCGGTACTGGCCACAATGCAATCTCAAGATACATGTGGTCAGGCATAAAATTCTAAACATTACCCTCTGTAATCGTTACATGTTAATAACTACAAGTCTACTACACTCCTAAACCGGCCTTAATTAAGCTAAGCCAACAAAAACAACAACAGACGCAGAACCAGGCCAAGACCCCTATTATACACACAAATCCAAGTGAAAACCACTTTCTTTATCCTCACCATACCAAGGGTCGAACAAACATCACATCCAGCGGATTTATGCGACCAGACTGCAAACCGACATCACAAACACAGCCGCTACCACGCCTGCTCTGAAAAGCCCTCTGTATGAACATCCCATAGCTGCAATTTTCCTGAATATGACACTAGTCCTGCTCTTTGATCTGGTGAAATTTCCACATCCTTTCGCTATAGTTTCCGTTGTTGTGTCCTTAACCTGTATCGCGTAAAAATAAGGATCAGAAATCGTAATGCATGAGAAGGTGTTCTCATTTGAACATATGAAAACAAACTATTTTCTCACCTCTTTCTTGATACATAGGAGTTGTGTACTGTCGGTTTCTGACTTGTGGCTGTTACGGTTAACCTGAAGACGCAACCTTCTTGAGGCATCGCCCTGCATTACAAACTGCTCAGCACAACCCGATGCTTGTGCTCGTCGAGCTCTAATCTTAATTCCTGTCTCAGTTACATCATTGATCTTGTTGCATGTGGTAAGATTCTGTGGCTCGTATGGGATCTGTTCTGGCGTCTGTTGCACGAACTCTTTCCTCCCTGGGAGCTCATAGGGTATCTCAAGAAGAGAATCCAAGAACTTGGACATATATTCATCGGCATCATTTGTACCATACTGAGTCTGAATGTGATCCTCATTGAACAGTTGGCTTGTTCCAGATTGAAAACCATTGAAAGAGGAACAAAGCTCAGATTGCACCTGAGAGGGCAACGGAGAGAACAGATTCTGATTCACGGAATCAAACTCCATAAATGAGAGCCAATCGATATCGTCAAGCTGTTGAGTAAAACAAAATTTGTAAGTTTACAAACCACCTCCCGTAATAAAAAAGACGGTATTCTGTTCATCCTTACCCCGGTGGTTGTAACCTCAGGGGCAGAGTTTTCGCTACGACATTCACTGGAGACTACAAGAGAAGATTCAGCGACGTCACAAGGCTTTGTGTCTTCTATAACCGGAGATACCTCAGACATTTCAACCTCAGATTTCATCTCATCCACAACAGTTGGAGACGAGACCGCTGGTTCAACTTCACATGACTTCGACTCTTCTAACGCAGCTCCATTCACAATATCTTGCTTCTTAAACAACTTACAAACAACAAATGGATTCTGCAACCATAACAATCCAACAAACACAATCAGAAACACAAAAGATCAAAACACACAAGTAATAATTACCGTCATTAGCCAAGTTTGTTTGTTACCTGGCCAGACTTTGTTCCATCAAGATCCTTCTCGGTAGCGCGGTACTCATGCATAATCCAACAAGTTCGTGTCCCTTTAGGAGCACGACCTGTATAGAAGACTAGAGTCCTCTTAACACCTATAATCTTAGTCTTTCCTGATTTGATCTTACGATCTTTTCCCGTCGCCTTCCAGTAACCAGCCACAGTAGCTCGATTCATCCTACTTCCACTCGGATACTTGCGGTCTAATGGACAAAAGAAGAGCCACTCTGCGTCTGTTGTCTTCACAACAGAAAAATCTACAACACAATACTAAATTATAAATCTTTACTCAAATTCACTAATTCAACATCATCACAATTCTACAGTATAAATCTTTTCACTCAAATTCACTAATTCCAGTACCTAAACTAAAAAGTTATTGATCATATTGTTCCAAATTCATACGAAACCAAACTTGCATAAACCGGAATTGAAGCGTGGGAATTGCTAAACCGAGACTAAAGGGCTAAATCACAAATCGTGTTGATGAAGAAAGGATAAAGTGAATATATGTACCAGGTAAATCCCAAGGCTCCCATTTGCAGATATCGATCTCACGGATTACTCTGACGTCGTCATCGTGACCGTTGATCTTGAGTCGGAGATAGTAACGAACTAACTCTTCGTCTGTTGGACTAAATCTGAACCCTACCGGTAGTGAAGCGAGCGATAATACTTCCATGTCTTCTTTCATAGGTGGTGTGAGACTTTGAGAATTCGAGAGGAGAAGCAAAACACAAAATTCGATTTGGATCAAAGATGTGATTCAAAGGTATCGAGAAGACCTCAGATTCTAGAATTTGATCAAATACGAAAAAATTGGACACGATTTGGTAAAGTGGTGAAGAAGGAGATGTGACACGATTTGGTCAGACAAAAGAGAGTTTATCATCAAAGATATGAAAAAGCGGCGCGTGTATACACGTACCCACTGCTTCCCAGAAAGTCATAAACACAAAACCACGTTCGTTACGCGTAAAGGCAAAAAACTTGGAATACCTTTTTTACCCCTAAAGGAGAGGAGTAAAATAGAAACGGAAACAAGGGTACATGAGTAAAGTGAGGATGTCTGAACGAGAGATGTCGTCAGCTAGCGAATCATATATTGACACGTGGATGTTATTAAGGAAGCTTCGTGGAAGTTGTACGGAGTCATTTATTATACAGAAAGACAAGTGTCAGTGATTTCAATCGAGGCGGTCTGATACTATGTTGCATAACTCCATCAGATATGCGTTTTCAGTTTTAGAAACGTTTCGGAAACTTTTAGAAACGCGTGATTTCAATCGAGGCTGTCTGATACTATGGGTCCGAATGGTGACCGCGTATTTGGTTGTGCGGGGAAAGCGGTTTTAGAGTGCGGTACGGATCAACTGCGGTACATGCGGTTTGCGGGACAAGTGCGGTTTATACAAAATAAGCGGTACACAATAAAATTTGATTGGTGAAAAACTATTTGCGGTGCGGATTTCATATTCATTTATTAATAACTACTACAATTTATATGAAATAATTTAACCATAGTTTAATAAAATCTTACTATAACTTTTTTTCTTCTATAGATCTGTTTTTTTTACTAAAATTAGTTATTTTCTAATTTATGAAGAAATAGTGAAGTAAGTTAATTTTTTTCTAAAAGAACACATTTTCAAAGTAAAATATTTATGAGAATTGTTAACAAGTTAATTTTTAAAAAAAAACATATTTAGTATATTGTTATTTGTTAAAATGTGTGGAGGCAATTTTAGCTTTTTTTATTAATCATAAATTAAATGAAAAAAGGAAGGTTAGCTTTCAGCCTAAAAAAAAAAAAAAAAGGTTAGCTGTTGAAAGAAAAAAGAAAAATAAAAAAGAAAAAAAGAGAGAACTGTTTTAACCTGTGCGGAATTGGTAAATCCGCTAGGTAATTGATCGTTTGGAAAAATAGGTGCGGTCCACTGGTTAATATCTGATATGCAAAAACGCAAACACCTTTTTCTATATTTTTTGAAAACCGCACATAATAGAGAAAGATATGTGATTGGTGACTTTATGTGGTTTTCGAAAAACCAAACTGAAATCCGCTTTTTTTTACGTCTCCATTCACAGCATATGTTGCATAACTCCATCCGATATGCGTTTTTCATTTCGAAAACGTTTAGGAATCGGAAACTTTTGAAAATGCGTGGAAACGCGTTTCCTTAAAAATTTCACTCGTTTTCTTAGAAAGTTAATTTGGAAACGTGATGAAAATGTACGTTTTCAATTTTGGAAACACATCGGAAACTTAATTTTTTTTTTTGAAACTTAAAAATTAATTAATTTTAGAAATATCAGTATATATTTGATATTTTTTTCTTTAAAAACTTAATTAGTATGAGGAATATGAAACACTTATTTTATTATTTGTGATCATGATATATGGTCTTAATTTTTGATTTTGAGTGTTGTTATCATTAGTTTAGTTAGACTATTTAATATTTTTATTATGTTATTTAAAATATATTTTAATATTATTTTGATGTTTAGTGTTTCATATAAATATATATATATATATATATATATATATATATATATATATATATATAAGTTTTCATAAAAATCCGTTTCTACGTTTCTACACATTTCGCTTCTGCGTTTCCGTTTTCGTTTCCATGCAACATACGTCCGAACAACAGTTCATGAAGGACGCTAAAAAGAAGAGCCAATGGGTTTGGTTAGAAAATAATTACACAAGTGGCCAGCCCATCTTTACTAATACTCTAATAGAGTTTGTTGTTTAAGCCCAACAAATGAGAACCCAAGTGAACCATTTTTTTTTCCCCGCTTTAGGTCATGAATATTTGTAATTTTGACTTTTTATAATGGTTTTTGGTTTAGTTTTGATTTAGCTGTTTGGAAAATTTGAATGGTAATTGATGTAGATTTTAGTTTTTAGCTTTAAACAAAGAAAAAAAAATTGAAATAAAACACATCATTTTCCCAAAAAATCAGTAGAATGTAGTTTTTGGCTTCGGTTTTAATAATTGGTAGAAATTATAAAATTCTATGTTCCATATGTCTTAAGAAAACCATTTGTGCAAAATATTCAATGGATGATAAATTAGTGTTTTTTTTTTTGTAGAATTTACAAACGATCAAGACCTTAATTTCCAGAGATTTTAAATCCATCGGCTTTTTTAGTTTTTTTTATATGAAATTCAATAAAAATCTTTTAAACGGAAAAAGGTTTTAAATGTACTGAACATTTGAATTCGTCTTAAACATAGCTTATAAGTTATAACTACAAAACATGTGGAACCGATTGAGTCGCTCTGTTCTATCTGATCCAAATTTTGTAGTCAACAAAATTACAAAGTTTTAGATTACTAAGTATCTGATGACGACCTAGCCCTACCCAATTTTTGTTTTCGTTTCCATTTCGACAGTTTTTGGAAAATCAGGACAAGAGTCCGACTTTGGATTTTCTTTGAATAAAGTTCCTCAATTTTGGGTCAAACTTGCCGTCATCTTGAATTTTGTTATGACTTGCAATTGAGACATTGCATATTTAGGTTTAACTGGTTCTTCTCCAACTGAGAAAACATTTTAAATTCTTTACTGATAGGGATGTTAAAAAGGTTTTTTTCAGAAAAATAATATTTAACAAGACGATCTCTTTCAATAAAACCCTAATCCCATTTTCTTAGATTTTATCATTTCAAGTTCATAAAATTCATACATGGATATTTATAAACCTAAAATTTGAGAATATATATATCGGTAATTGAAAATTATTATATATAAAAAAATTATTCAAGTCTCTTCTAGTTCTAAAGGATTTTGAACAAAGATTTTAAAATTTGAATATTATTAAAAATATTGTGTTTTGTAAAAGTTCTAAATAGTGTAGTTTTGTTTTGTTTGACTACTATCACACACAGTGCCGGTCCGAGCATTTGTGAGACCCTATACGAAAAATAAAATGAGGCCCAATATATTTATAAGTTTTAGGGCTAAAAATTTTTTTTTTACCTATTTTTAGTAAATTATACAAAAATAATGATATTTTGAATATTATTACATTCAAATTTAATTGTTTGGGCCCTATTTTATTTATTTTTTCGAAAAAGACTTTAGTTTCTACCAAATATTTTCATTTTATGGCCTTTTTACCAAAAAGAAAGAAAAAAAAAACCTTTAAAAAAAAAAAATTGTGGTGCCCCAAGCCACCGCTTGGGTGGCCTGTCCTGCGGGCCGGCCCTGATCACACATGTTGTCAAGAAGTCAAGATTTTCCCGCACACTTTCTTTGAGCGTTATATCCTATACTCGCTTAGGATGGGAAAAAGGGGATTTTCATACCCGTATTATCTGCACCGTGGATTTTCATACCTGTACAATTTCGTAGGGTATTTTACAACCTAAACTTCAATAAAATTTGAATCTCATACCTATACTTGATACAACGGGCAAAAATCGGAGTCAATCTAACGGGTGTTAGTCAACTCCGTTACGGTGCTGAGTCATCGTACACGTGTACGCTGACGTGTATCAAAACGATGTCGTTTTCATACCCGTACTGTCTGCGCTGTGGATTTTCATACCTGAACAATTTTGTAGGGTATTTTACAACCTAAACTTTAATAAAATTTGAATCTCATACCCTATACTTGATACAACGTGCAAAAATCGGAGTCAATCTAACGGGTGTTAGTCAACTCCGTTACGGTGCGTATCGAAACGACGTCGTTTTGATATGTGTTCTCAAAGTTTTAATTTTTTTTGCAAAACTGGGGACTCGAACCCGCGAGCCGTACTCACATGGGAAGCACCGAATACCAACTGATCCCACAAGATTCATCGAGTATTCCTCAATCTTTTTCACTTATCAATTCGAAAAAGCGTCCGGGAAGCTTGTTTTTATGGTATAAGATTGTTGAGTTCCTAATTTTTACAAAA